CAACCAAACTCTCATTCCACTTTTCACTTCGGTCTCTGCAGCCCGCGCCATCTCTACCTGTTGTGTTTCCTGTGTTTCTGTTGGGTGTGTGGTAGGGCTGATCAACTCCCTACCCGGTGTTCGCGAAGAAAAAAGTGTTCTTCTCCCTACTTTGCTCACCTGTAGACTACATTCGGTGGCCCAAGTGGGACCGAGGCCGGTTTTACCTGAAAATTGTTGGGCTGGCGGTCGCCGTGGGCGTTAGCATCCATTGCTACACATCTTCAGCGGCTCTCGTCCGAGTTCCGCCGCCTCTCCCTCCCCGGAACCCAAACACCATACGACCATCACCTTCCCTCACCGGCCCCGTGTCGATCACTCCTACATCATATCGAAGTCCTTCTCGGTTCCTTATATCACACACACGATGATGACTCGTGTTGAGGTAGATATCTGCGTTTGTTTTCGTGTGGTTCGGGATGGGGGCGAAACGAAACCTCATTTCGACCAAAACGCCGACGAAGTAAATGCTCTGGAAGAACGTTGTTTGTTCTAGAAGTTGAGGCCAGCGTGGATTAGCCCTCCGCCACCACTTTCGCTTCTCTGTCCTCAGGAGCCCTTCTGGGAAGATATACGCACACTTCTCTTTGCCGTTGCTCTACCCGTGGGAGTAGCGCTGGCGTATGTCGTCTGTTATGCGTCGCACGGTCAAGTACGTGGACGAATACAATGGTGAGGGCCATGGTTGTGCGTGGTCTATGTCGGAAACCAAACGAAGGTCGAATACTTGCGGGCTGTGTCTTGACCCAGACTGTGAGCATCCTGAACTTAGCAAGATTTTCTCGGATGGTATTTGGTATGTCGAGCTTGGTACGACAACAAGGTTTGCCGATGTGAAGGCTCGTACATCAACGAATAGGCCGGGGCACAAACCAAACGAAATGTTGAAGCGTTCGTAAACAAATCTGATGTGCTGTGGTCCACTTCGGAGACGTCACCCCTTACGAAATGGAGAACGCTCCCGCATTTCTCGTGGTCGATAGAAAGCATCCGCCGCGTCATAGATGAGTTGCATGGAAGTAACTCAATCTACGCCGACCGGTACGATCCAGCCTTTGTTTTCAGCCAAAACTTTCCAGTTCGTGCCCAATGGTGTAAGAAGCCAGGAAGTTCTCAGTCGACTCTGTTTCATCGATGACTGCTTGCTTTGACAGGCTCGCCCAACGAGCACAAGTTTGAGTACGTCGAGCACCTGAACGACATTGCCCTAGACTGTCGCGAGACTAACTTAAGGACTTCCACAACGTTGCACGGTAACAATCTGCATATGAACAGGTTGAAGCGGTCCTATTGGGTTGGGGGCGTAGCTGCCGCGGCACGCAAAGCGGAAAAAATAAATCGATCTCAGGAACCGTACTGGAATATCGTGCGTCTTCTGCCCCCGCTGCCTGATTTTGTGTTCGCGTTCAAGCGTTTCAAACGGCCGCGAGAATTGCCACGCAAACTGGAGCAACCTGCAGGGTGCTCAACGAGCGAAGTAAGTACTTGTTGTTATTAAGCTAGTGGCGGGTCATGAAAGGCACGGAACTGGAGCGTAGGTGCTAGCCATTTTTTTATGATTGTTGGTGGTTTTGTGGCTGTTAGATGAAGCACATGCTCGCGCTCGAAGCGTTGAAATTATTGCTGGAATTTTGGCGCAAGTATTTCTTGATTGAGAAGGTTGCACCAGGGCGGAGGCTGCTCCCCGTTGTCTCGACAACCTAGAAAACGCCCTCGCAAGCACTCGACGAAGAATCTTTGCCATGCAGCTTGCCACTTGGAGGGATCCCGGAACTTTCAGAAAAATCCGCGGAACGGTCCACTGAACGGCCAAAAGCAGAAGGAACAGTAATCTTGTCGCACAGGTTAGGCCCTGGGGTTACCCCCCTGCGGAGCAACAAAAAACGGCATGCTGCGAATAGCCTTTGCTTTTTTTTTTGTTTGAAGGGGGCACACAGACAGCAGTCCTACTTACTTGAGCAAAGACAAGGAACTGGCAATCAAAAATGCTCGAAGACGGTGAGGAGATGGCTCGTCTCAATCTACAATCACCTGTAATTATGCTATAGCTAGAGAAATAGCGAAGCCGATTTCCGTTTGGTGGTTGAAAAATCCCGAAACGACGGAAATTTCGGCTGTTGACGCAGCTGGCGCGAATACCGAGACGAGGGTCAAAAATCGCCTTCGCTACTTCTCTAGCTCTGGTTTCTGCGCACACAGCTA